GGCTTCCATAGACTTTGGTTTCCCCTTAAAAATTCATGTGTTGAAACGTAAACCCAACGTAATGAATGGGTTTTTAGAATATCAAACAATGTGAGATTCCAAAAAAGGCAGAAAATTAAGTGGAAGCTACACTGACATTCTCCCAGGACCAAAATGGAATTACAACTAACACATCGAAAAATCATCATGAATAACCAACTGAATACTAGCTGGAGAGAACACTGATAACCAAGGATGCAAAAAGGAGGTCATACCAAGACTGGTAGGAGGTGCAGAGGTTTGAGGGGGCTGGCCGGGATCCCACAGGCAGCAGCTGAAGGTCCAGAGGAGCATCTCACTGTGGTGGGTTCCCCCTGAGCATTCTGGGGTCTAGACCCCAAACGGGGCTCCCCACCCCAGAGAACCAGCACTGGAAAGGTGCTGTGGAAAGCAGCAGGGCTTCTCTCGGCCAGAGAGAGACAGCTGTAAATGCAGACACTCTCTTAAAGGGCCAACACACACAATTTCAGGTGGGGCCACTCACCTTGGGCAGAGTGGAATAGAGCTGTGCAAGGAGAATTCAGGGTTGATGGCTCTGGGGAGGGAGTATGAGGGGATACCTGCCTGGATCCCTGCACTGAGTCATTCCCCACCCCCCAAACCTCCTCCTACTGCAGTGGATTCTTTATCAGAAAGACCTTTGCTATCCGGGCAGCTTTAGCCTGGGGGTGGGGGTGGGGGAAGTAATTGTCCCACCTGTTGGAAACCCTCTGGGTCCCACCCTGTGGTCCACAGCCTGAGGCTCATGAAGTGACTGAGACTAACAATCAGCCTGCAGCAGAGGCAGATCTCTGGGTGTTTTGGGTCTTTGCTGGAGCTGCTTCTGGACCCAGAGCTAGGAAAAGCAGGCCTTGGTGTGCAACTTGGTTCTTTCCACAGGCATCCAGACCCAGCAGAGGAGCCACAGCTGTAGGCGTCTAATAGCTCCAAACAGGGTACTCAGGGCCAGTTACAAAGAGCATCTGACTTTGGCCTGCACCAGAGACCCTCCAGACAGGCCCACATCCAATAAAGCCAGTGGTCAGCTTCGGAAAACAACAGGGCCGGATCCAAGAAGCTTCACAAGCACTCTCTCCACAGAGAGGTATTGGCAGGATCCAAACTCAGCTGAGATGAGTTCCAATGCATGTGGTAAGCACCTGGACAGCAGCCTTCAGGCGCTTTCGGGGTTGAGCCTCACTGGTAGCAAGCCTGAGGGCCAAGCCCATGCACAAATGAGCCCATAACACGCAAGACTCAATTACAACGGGAAGGCCTACACAACGATCGAAAGGGGCACTACTAGAGAAACCAGGCCTGGTGATGAGGAAGGCTGTGCCACTGGGTCCCACAGGTCACCTACTACAGAAGGCCACCCTACCAAGACTGGAAGTTCCAGCACATCTAGCTAATATAGAAACAAACCCAAGGAGGCAGCCAAAATGGGAAAACAGAGAGACAAGCCCCAAATGAAGGAACAGGAGAGGTCTCCAGAAGAAGAGCTAAATGAAATGGAGAAAAGCACTTTATCACAGATAGAGTTCAGAGTAATGATTATAAGGATGCTCAACAGCATGGGAAAAGGTATATAAACTATATAGGTCTCTGTGGATTTATTAAATTTTTTTTTTTCAGATCGTATAGCAACTGAATAAATAATAGAATGTCTTGCTACTATTCAGAGCTGGAATATCATCAACTTATAATAATGTATTCTTCTAGGTCTAGCATTTTTTTATAAATTAAAAATTTCTGTTAATAGGTGTAATGAAATCTACATTATGCTTTGTTTGTAGAAAGGTTTTATTACTTGAAATTATCTTTGCTTACCTTCCTGAATTAATAAAATGTGGCTAACAGTCATCACACTCTTACAGGCCACAGTTGTTATGAAAATATGGTTGCTAGGATACCTTCATTATTTCATCGTCATGTTACGCCAGTCTATCAATTAATAAAGAACCATTCAAGTTAATTCTCAGTCATATTTATATGCATTCTTAGCATATGATTTTCCTTATCTCCAAGTAACATTTCTCCCTTTAGCATTCACCTTTTACTCCAAAAAATATTAAACATAAGGTTATCACATCAGTTTACAAATTACAGCAATGATGCATGTCTTCTACTTAACCTATTACCTTTCCATCATGGTGAAAGTCCTTACTGCAAATATCCCCGCACAGAGTAAATTATTTTTTCTACTTCTCAAATGTATTTCCAAGAAAATTGATGCCTGGGAAAAAATACATCTATCAAATTGATATATTTAGTCCTTTCCCGTTCTTTCTAAGAAAAAATGTGGAGCTAGAAATACCTTTGAAAATCACTCTTGCATCTTTACATATTTATAACTATTGCCAGGTTACTGCTTTACATTTCAGGGTTAGATTTACAGAGGTGCCTGATATGGGCTCTTATAAATACATATTTTATGAGTATTATGTTGTGGTTAAAAATAACCACATGCTGTCTTGTTATCACTTGTCAGGGCATTATAAAAATAAAAATAAAAAATGAAAATAAAAATCTTTGATATGATAAATTTATCTCATTTATAAGTTCAATTAAGTACTTACTAATTCCAGGTTTTGCTACCTAAATAAAATAAATTATAGTATTTTTTTCAAAAACCAGGAATGCAACTTATTCTGAAAATTGTCTGTAAAAAAAGTATTAACTCTAATTATAGATAATATGTAAATATAGAAATGTTCTCAATACTCACTTAGTTTTGATATCTTATTTAAAAATCTGAGTTTAAAAAGTATGGTTAACCCCACTATACATGAAAATTGAGTAATATTTTATTAAATCATTTGCAAAGTATCATTTAACAAATTCAATAGTTAAGGATAGAATTCATATTTACTAATGTTTACAATAGTCAATATTTGCATTTTAAAAGTTCTATTCAAATTGTATACCTAGTAGAATGCAAGAAAGTGTGGGGGAGAAAGGACACTCAATTCAAGGGGTTAATATCTCAACTTTTAAAAATACGTTGAAGCAGTTCAACATATTTTTATATTTATTTGCAAATGGTTAATGATGATTGGATCAAAACCCAGATTGTATAGATATGATCTTTCAAAAAATTTGCCTATGCCAAAGACTTCACAGCTGTTTTCAATTCACTAAAGTACATGTGTGGTCATCTTTTCAGATCAAAGAAAAATATTTTTTTCTCTTTTTAAATTTCCATGAGGCCCTGGCCTGTGTTCCTTAATGGTTAGGGACATATATAATACTTTCAACAATAAAGATTTTAAAAAATAAAAATAAATGTAACAACATAACAAACTAAAGCCCAGGATTACTGTCCTTTTGATGGAGTCATTTGATTTAGAATTCTTTATGTTTCATATTGGTATCAGTTTCCTCTTCATCAGAGATTGCTTGTTTTTTCCTTAGTACTTCATTTCTCCGACAAAGTATCTCTCCGATTCATCTTTATCTACATTTTTTTTTATGTTTGCTACATTTTAATTAGTTTTCATTTGGGTGAGTGCTTGATATATGGTACAATCATTTCATCTTATTTCATATTTCATTATGAGTGTTTCTCAAGTGTTACCTCCAGTTTATCTCTTTATGTCTCCGAGAGAATAAGCTAAAAAAATAATTAAAAAGGAAAGCCACAGCTTTTTTTATCCACTCATATACTGATGGGCACTTGGACTGCTTCTAGATCTTAGTAAAAAAGCTGTGGTACATTTATACCATGGAATACTATGCAGCTATAAAAAAGAAGGCTCTCTTACCTTTTGCGATAGCATGAATGGCCCTGGGGATTATTATGCTAAGTGAAGTAAGCCAGAGAAAGACAAATATCACACGATCTCACTTATACATGGGATCAAATAGACAAAGTAAACTGATGAACAAAATAGGTCCAGAGGCACGGATGCATGGAACAAACTGCCAGATCTCAGATGGAGATGGGTAGAGATTAACCAAAGAACTTACATGCATTATGCATGGCCCATGGACACAGAATATAGTGTAGTGAAGGCCTGGGGGGGACAGGGGTTGGTGTAGAGGGGAAAGAGGTCAGAAGAAGATATTCACCAATGATACATCAAATAATAGGGTTAATATCCAACATTTATGAAGAGCGCATACAACTCAGCACCAAAAACACAAACAAACAATCCAATTAAAATACAGGCAGAGGACTTGAATAGACACATCTCCAAAGAGGACATATAGATGGTCAATAGACATATGAAAAGATGTTTAATGTCACTAAAATAATCAGAGAAATGCAAATTAAAACCACAATGAGAACCATCTCACACCTGTCAGAGTGGCTATCAGCAACAAATCAACAATCAAGTTTTGGTGAGTTTGTGGGGAAAAAGGAGAACCCTTGTGCCCTGTTCATGGTTTGCAAATTGGTACACTATGGAAAACATCATGGAGCTTCCTCAAAAAACTAAAAATGGAACTGCCTTATGACCAACAATTCTGCTTCTGGGTATGTATCTGAAGAAAACCAAAATACCAAATTTCAAAGACTATCTACACCCCTATGTTTACTGCAATGTCATTTATGATAGCCAAGATAAAGAAGCAACCCATGTTCTCATCAATAGATAAGTGGTACATGTATACACTGGAATGTTATCCAACCATAAAAAAAAGAATGAAATCTTAGGAAATATATAATCAATAATATTGTCCTACCTATGTAAGGTGCCAGGTGGGTACTGAAAATATCAGGGGGAGCACTTTGTAAAGTATATGCTTGTGTAACCACTACGCTTATACACCTTAAACCAGGGGGTGGGGGTGGGGGACCTTTTTTCTGCCAAGGGCTATTTGGATATTTATAACATCATTTGCTGGTCATACAAAATTATCAACTTAATAATTAGCCTGCTATATTTGGTCTAACATTTAATTAACTCACCTCGAATGCCTTGGCAGGGCCAGACCCACTGATTTCATGGGCCTTATACAGCCCGTGGGACAGAGGTTCTGCAAACCTACCTTCAACCCATACAAAATCATATTGATAGTACACTATAATTGAAAACTAAAAATTAAAAAAAGATGCAAAATAGTAAAATCTAACCTTTTGCGACAACGTGGATGGAGTTAGAGGGTATTATACTAGGTAAAATAAGTCAGACAGAGAACAATAAATGCCATATGATTTTACTTACATATGAGCTCTAAAGAAAAAAATAAATGAGCAAACTAAACAGAAACAGACTCAGAGATGTAGAGGACCAGTTGAGAGTTGCCAGTAGGGAGAGGCCTGGGGGCTGGGGTGGGTAAAGGGATTAAGAAGTGCAAATTGGGAGCTTCAAAACAGTGCTGGAGATTTGAAGCCCAGCATAGGGGATAGAGTCAACAATACTGTACTCACCCTGCATCGTGCCAGTGTTATCCAGGGGACCACTTTGAAAATTATAGAACTGTGACCTGAAATTAATATAAAATCAAGAACAAATAAAAAAAGCGGGGGGGGGGGGGGGAGAAAATGTCAGGGAAAATTTTTTATTTATCTGCGTGTTATTTTTTTCTTGGTTTACCATTTTGCATCCATACTACCAGTAAAATATTTGAGAGGTATCCTCCTCAAAATGGTGGACTTGGCACAGAGAATCAATATGTTTAAACAAGGTAATGTACTTCTTTCTGTAGATTCCCTACTGAAATATACACAGTGCAGTGAGGAACAACCTTCTCCGTGTTGGACTTCAAAAAAAAGAAAAGAAAAAAGACAACAAACAAACATGGAGGATAGCAGCCACGTCTGAATATTCTGCTTAGAGATTCAGTCTTCAAAGTCACCCTGTTGAATACTAATACTTAAGCTCTAATAAAAGCTGTCTCCACAAGGTCTCAAGATTCCCCTCACTGGTCTCTGAGCCTGCGTATCCAAGAGTGCCTGAATTTAAATCTATTTTGGCAGGCTATTTCAAACAGATGACATTCCTATTCCAACGATGGGCTTAAAAGATGCTCTAAATGGCCCAGAATTTGGGGAAAGATAACTGGGACTTTTCTCTATTGTTCTCGGGGGAAGCATAACTTTTTATCAGCAATAATCTACTCGGCACACAGAACGGGAATAAGTAAACTCCCCAAAGGACATTTATTAGGCAGCATAACATTGCAAGCATACTTAGCGCAGTATCAGTGACCTTTCTTTGATGTAAACAGTGAAGATGCTGTTTTCCTGGTGAAGGTGAAAAAGGACTTGGCTGCCAAAAAGCACCATGAGTCCATTGATGTAAAACTGGACTATAAATTATTGTGCTCTAATTTATAGCACAATAAATTCTGGACTATGGTCCTGCAGAATACTCGTATTCCCACATTGAAATATGGTGGGTTATTTTAGGAACATTAGGGAGTAGTTGTGAAAGTCACAAACTATAGGATGTAAGTCTAAATCTTACAGCTCCCCACATATTAACATAATTTTTGTTTTTTTAATCCCTCTGCGGTTCACTTCTTATCTGTAAAATCTATTACAAAGAATTTAACTAGATGTATTCTGCTCCTTGGAAGTTCATGGTTTTCAGCTAAGCAGTTAAAAAAATAAAGATATTTAAAAATGTAAGTTTAAAAACATATTATGCTGGAAAAAATGCTAATAGTCACAAATTTCACAGTGATTTTATTTAAAATTTGGATAGCAGAGGCAAGAGCCCTTTAGAGTCTTTCAGGATTTCTGAGTTCTTCGTTAGCAATTCTTCAAAAATTTCAGAAGTATTTTGGCCTTGGGTTGGATCTTCCATTTTTAAGATGAAAAAAATAAACCATAGAAATGTTATCTAACTTTTATGTTCACATATTTATTCAGCAGTAACGTCAGAACTCAGAGAACCCCTGGGTTTCCGGATATAGCACATTTATGAACGCTATAACCCACACTAGAATTTTTAAAGTGTAACTTTTTTCCTAATCCTTTTCTGCTAACACTTGAAATAAATTCAACTGCAGGTGCATTAGCAGCATGGACCTGGTGAGAGCGTACAGAACTACAAATTCTGAGGAAACTGTGAGGATCTGTATGAGATCCTACACTGTTTTTCTAGTAAGTTCTTTACTGCTTTATTAGAGTGAAAAAAAAAGTTATTTGCTGCTCTGCAGCATTTGGCCATGTGATGATTTGTGTTGCTTTGAAAAGGTAATTCTTAAATCAGGTATAAGCATGTTTTTTAAATTGATTTGAGAGAGAGAGAGAGAGAGAGAGAGAGAGAGAAACATGGATTAGTTGCTTCTTGTACACAACCCAACCAGGGATTGAACCCGCAACCTAGGTATGTGCCCTGACCTAGAATTGAACCTGCAACCTTTTTGTATACAAGAGGACACTCCAACCACCTGAACCACCCGACCAGGGCAAACATGTTTTTTGTGTGTGTGTGTTTTTTTTAAAGTTCTACCTGTCAATCAACTCAGAGATAAACATGAATATTCACTTGCCATTCGTTTGAAATCCCGAAATATGGACTGAGTGTAGCTCAAGTCTTATTGTTTTACAACATGTTTGTGAGAACATAATGAAAGAAATATTATTCATTTAATTTGGGAGAAGTGGCTGTCACAGCTTGGTGGGGCATGTGGCCTTTCTATGTACACAAAGATGCCCCGCCATCCACCCGCTTCGTAGCACTGGCATGTCACCTGGCCTGTGGCATCTCACATGCTCATGCTCTAACACTTGTGTTGGGGCCAAACCAACCAGTGTCAGCCAAAGCCAGAAAGCAGGTGGGGCTCGGGCTTGACAGAGACCGGAATGGCAGGCCGCATGCTTCTCCTAGTGCTGTCAGCAACCAGGGCTTGTTTGGAAATTCTATCTTCTGGTTACAGTAAACAAGACTTGATGGAGCATCCAGCAGAGAAGTGTTGTAACCTTTTCTACAAAAAGAAAATGCAGAAAACAATGTAAGCTATTAGTGAAGTGCAGAATAATTGCTCAAGTCACCTGTTTGCTGCTGAGCTCTAAGTACAAGGCAACACAAAGAAGGTAGCCTAATATCTCATGGCGTAACAAATAAAATAACATCATAAATATAGGACAGAAACCCCCACATTTCTAAAATTCAGAGAGTAAGCATTGGAGGGTATATTACCATAAATTGCATATTAAAACAACGTAGCTTTTGAATTTTGTACAAAAACTTCAAAGATGAATGTGTCATTTTTTTGTAGGAAAAGATTAAATTATAACCTAGCATAATGATTACCTTTATGTGTCATCATTTTGTGAGCGATTAGTATTAAAAAAAACAAACCACTAGACTCTAATCCCCGGCTCTACCTTCCTGGTTATTTATAACCAAGATTCAGGTTACGCAGTGCTAATGTTCCCGGAGAAGAACGTGCCCATCTCCCCCAGTTGCTGCTGGGGATGGAGTCCTTGTAAATTTCCAGATAAAAGGAATTTTCTGAGACTCACACAAGAGAACAAATGATTTTTATTTGTGTGGCATTAAATCCCTGCATTTCCAGAGTCCCATTTCCCTTAGTCCAGTCATAGAAGCTGGGGTGTCAGTGGAGCTAAAGTCAGAGCCAGTGTCCAGAGTTGCCTTCCCATGTTGGAGCCCGGTCCAGTGAGGCACCGGGCTAGCGGCAGCCCATTAGTCCACGGTGTGTGGAGTCTGCATGGCCAACGGGCCATACGGGTGAACGCAAGGAAGAGGAGCAAAAGGGCCCCACGGGCCAGGCGTTAAACACAGTGCTCCAAGAGAGTGAGCTTTGTTTAGGGGATTATATTTTCCCAAATGTCCATGCCTTTGCAGTGGCCATGCCCATTCTGGCCAATGACCTCTGCTCCTAGGTGTGACTGACAGTTAGCACCTTCCCTGCGTCACCCTAACTTTACTGGGCATGCGTCTATCTTCCTTTTGTTGGAGCCCTCCCCCCAGTCTTTTGCAGGGAGCATGCCTATAATGTCTAAACTTCCCTTGGCTCCTTTTCTGTTATTAATAACTAGCAATGGTATCAATAATAGAATGATTTTACAAACATTTTGTCCTTCTACAATTATGGTTCTAAATCAACCAATTATGCCAATTCAGCATCTTCAGTTCTCCGTGCTATCATTTGCAGTGTAATTATCTTTAGGGTACTTGAGTAGTTTTTATCTACAAGGTAGAAGATCTGCTCTGATTTTTATTAATGAGGCTTCCTTCCTTACTGCTGAAAGCTTGGGCTAGATGACAAAGATAAATGAGACTTTTATTGAGGGCAACAGGGATGGTATCATTCTTTTCTGTTTTCTTTGAAATGGAAACACATTTTCAGTGAATTTCAATTATAATGTTAAAAGAAGTGTTAAACTATAGATGAGAAGCCCTTTAAAACTTTTATAAAATGAACAGACGAGGGGAAAGCTTTTAATTTTCTTTTGATTCCCCACACTTGTTGCTAGATATTTGTGTATCTCTAAAATTTTCAGTCTACCTTATATGTGCAAAATATGGTAGAGATAAAAAATAATGTAATATACTAGTACATAATGTTACACATATTAGTCTCTGTTTCAAATAGAACAAAATATTCAAATATAATACCATAATAATTCTAATAAAAGCTATAAAGGATTAAAGGTGACACAGAAAGACTATATCTGATTGAGGAAATTATTTTTTAAAGCTTCATGGAGGAGGAAACATGTGCATGTCAGTAGAGTTTTGACAGGGAAAGAATGTGGAGAATATTTTAGGCAAAAGGAACAGCTTGAGGAAAAGATGTGAAGTGCCCAATGTGAGCTTGGAAATTAACCAGTGGGACAGTTTGTCACTTGAAAAAAGGCAGGAGAGGAGGATGAAATAACACTAAATGGGCTGGTTGGCTCAGGTCATGGGTGGTCTAGGATGTCAGGTTAAGGAATGTACTTAGTAGGCAATGGGAAACTTGAGGGTTGCTTGGGGTTGGAAAGTGATGTTCTGAGAATGGTTCTTTAAAAAGATTTAGCCTAGCTGGTGTGGTTCCATGGTTGGGTGTCAACCCATGTACCAAGAGGTCACTGGTTTGATTCCTGGTCAGGGCACATGCCCCGGTTGTGGGCTTGATGCCCAGTAGGGGGCATGCAGGAGGCAGCCAATCAATGTTTCTCTATCATCATTGATGTTTCTATTTTTCTCTCCCTCCCCCTTCCTCTCTCTCTAAAATAAATAAAAACATATCATAAAAAGATTTAATGGTCAGCTCTCTCCAGGAGAGGATACATTTGAATGTGGAGAGCGGTTAGATAATATTATAATTTCAGGCAGGAAATAGAGTAAAAGTCAGATCTGAGATCAAACTTAAGCCTTGTAAGAAAGTAGTTATGTAAATTGGACCATTTTGCTTAAGTTCCCTCATCTAGATGATCTTCAAGTTCTTTCAAACAATAGCATTCTATGATTCAAGGTCATAGAAAGCTTGGACTAGTCCAGTGGTCGGCAAACTCATTAGTCAACAGAGCCAAATATCAACAGTACAACGATTGAAATTTCTTTTGAGAGCCAAATTTTTTAAACAAACTATATAGGTAGGTGCATTGTTATTAACTTAATTAGGGTACTCCTAAGGCTTAGGAAGAGCCACACTCAAGGGGCCAAAGAGCTGCATGTGGCTCACGAGCTGCAGTTTGCCGACCACGGGACTAGTCCAATGAAAATAGGAATGGAAAGTTGAAAATGAACAGGAGGCATTTGAGCAGGCAGATTTTGTTTGCATTTCTTCATGGGGCCTGCACTGATATTTTAGGCTCCACAACTCTTCAATATAAAGGATGAAAACCTAGAACTGCAAATATTTCAGCATCTCTGGTCTCTACCCACTAAATTGGAGTAATATCTCTTAGTCATTATAATAATACAAAAGTCCCATATAGTTCCAAATCTTTCCTTGAGGATTATGACTACTGAGACTTCCCCCGTCTACCACTCCACACACAATAACTTTATAACTATGTGAGCCTATTTTAACTAATATTTGAATATAGTAGAAAACTGCAAGACTCTTAATGCCTTTGATAGCCATGGATAATTCATGAGAAAAAAATTCATGTTGGAAAAGATTATGTTTCATTTTAGACATATTGAATTTTAAGTACCAGTGGAATATTCGGATATCCTATTTGGACTTGGGTAGTGAGGAGAAAAGAGAAAGAAGAAAAAACAACAACAGCAACACAAGTTCAATAATTTGTCTCTTCAATCTTGAGAGAGAAAAAAAAATGGTTCTTGTTCAACTATTGAGATATTTATGAAATAAGAGGAAGTATTCTGTCCTCACTGGAATCTGCCTACTTGTTCCATTCTTATTAAAACACTAGAGGCCCGATGCACAAAATTTGTGCAAGGGGCTCTGCCCTCGCAGCCGTAGCGGCTTGCCTCGGCCCTCGCAGCCCTGGCTTCGTCTGGAAGGACATCAGGTCTAATTAGCATATTACGCTTTTATTATTATTGATACTTCAAATTTTCCTTTTGAACTTCCAAGAAACCAAAAGAAAATGACCATCTCTTGGGCATCAACATGTATCAGATGCCTGCTAAGCATTTTTCATATGTATTTTAAATTGTCCCTTTGTCTCAGGTTGAATACCTTGCTCAGTATGACATAGTTAAATAGCAGAAAAGGAAGACTCAAACTTAGTTCTGTTCATTTCCAAAACTGGGAATATTTTCACGGCAACAATGTGACAGTTAGATGATTTGAGTTTAAAAAATCCATTCTGACATGGAAATTGCTATTATCTATTCATGTACTCTCCTCCAAGGTCTCTGGAAGAACAATGCTGTAGGCAGTGACTGGTGGGATTTTCAGGCACCATGCGAGGCAGGTGAGTCACAAACCATTCATACCTAAGTCCCAACAGGGACTACAAGCCTCAGCTTGGACAAAGACAGGATGATTTAGATTTGTTCATTTCACTTGCAACACCTTCCCAATGGAAATGAATTCTTTTTGTGTGTGTTTTTAAATTTATTTTAATATATTTTTAGTAAATTATAGTTGACATACAATATTATATTAGTTTCAGGTGTACGACATAGTGATTTTACATTTATGGACCTTACAATGTGATCACCATGACAAGTCTAGTGACCATCTGCCACTGTACCAAGTTATGATGATATGATTGACTATATTCCCTGTGCTGTACATTACATCCTCAGGACTATTTACTTTATGACTGGAAATTTGTGCTTCGCCTATCTCTCCCCCTCGCTCCCCCTCACCACCCCACCCCCTCCCGGCAACCATCAGTTTGTTCTGTTTTGTTTGTTTTGATATTTTAGATTCCACATATAAGTAAAAATCATATGGTACTTGTTTTTGTCGGTTTGACTTATTTCACTCAGCATAATACTTTCTAGGTTCATCCACGTTGTTGTAAATGATAAGATTTTATTTTTTTATTGCTGAATAATATTTCACGAGTTAAAAAATAAGGATGTATTTGAAAGTGTTGCAATATTTTATGGAACCGGAAACCTTTTTTGGTGCACAATATGATGCTCAACCAACTGAGACATGCCGGCCAGGGCTAGGTTCTGACTCTTATTTACATCAGTCACCTAATGGCCAAAAGTTAGAAGTGCTTCCCAAATCTTTCTACCATGGACCCAGCCAGTTCCTGTAATAGGGCCACTCTATGCAGCCACGCCTGTAGAACCATAATTTGCTACACTTCCAGAAGCATAAAGTGTTTGGTGTCTTTAACAGGTGACTTTTATCAACAAAAACATTATTCACTAGTTACTTCCATTTTGAAAGTAACATTGACCTTATTAAAGGTACAAACTCATAAACCTAGTTCTTTCTTAATCTATTAAGTTCACTTTTATATCATCTTTTGATTTTAATGATCAGTGTTTGTACGCCCTTTATTAATTCTCTTATTATCCCTTCCTGGGAATTAT